ATACCCACATTTAGGGGAGTTTCTTGCTTGATATTGTTTAGAAAGAGTTCACATTTTGTAGTGTTTTTCATCTATGATGTTTTTTCAGTGCCATTAAGAAATGAGATATAGTAGGAACATTGCCAATAGATGTGTATGAGGTCATGCTACAGCAGTTTCTCTCTTTATAGAAAATGGAAGAGTTCCAAAATCTTTGATGTTTTTTGTTGTTGTTCACTCTAGTTTTTAGGTAATTGTAATTGAGCAATCGCTTTATTGTGAGATAATCTTGTATTGTATGAAGGGTGACTGACTGAATTATTCAGGTATTCCATATTAGGTTAGATGCCTGTGATAGGGAATAGAAGAAGACTCCTAAAACAAAAAACAAAAAAAAAATCATTGTCATAAGTGGAAGAAATACTTAAATTCTAAAGCCCCCCCACAAAAAAATTGTTTTGGGAAGAATTACAAAATGGTGTAGCCTCCTTTTGGAACTTTTCCAAGTTTTGTGTGAGAAGGTCTCTAGATGTATGAAGACGTCTGATCTCTGTGAAAGGCTTAATGGAATATTACACTCATAGTATCAGATAACGTTACATGCTACCCTGATAAGTTTGATTTTTGTATTTATTTTTTAGTGATCTCTTATATATATCATAATTTTGTTTAATGTGTGTGTGTGTGTTTGTTGTGTGTGTGTGGTATGTGTGTGTGTGTTCGTGTGTGTGTGTGTTCGTGTGTGTGTGTGTTCGTGTGTGTGTGTGTTTGTGTTTTGTGTGTGTGTTTGTGTTTTGTGTGTGTGTTTGTGTTTTGTGTGTGTGTGTATGTGTTTGTTTTGTTTGTGTTTTGTTTTGTTTATCTTTTGTACTCCTTATTTTGTCGGTCACAATCTAGTTATGAAATCACAGGCAAGGAAGTTGGCTAGAACATGTAAACACTATCTGTCTTATCAGCTACTTCTTTCTCTCCCCTAAATACGCATTTATCTGAGAAGATATTAGTGTGTGTATGGTTATCATTACTCGGAACTGTACTTTTCATCCGTGAGGAGGTTGTCTTCTATATTTTTCTCTTAAGACTTGCAGATGAGAAGTTGGTTCGTTTAGCTAATTTTTTTGTTTGTTTGTAAATATAACTCAAGGACTCTTATCTGAATCTTCCTGCAGTCAGATTACATATCTTTAATTACTGATTTGGATTTAGTGTGCGTACTGTGAATAAAACTAGAGTAGAAACAATGGATTATGAGACCAAAGCACTATTATTTGTAGAATTGACTTTTTCTTAGAAGTGATTGCTTCCCATCGCATAGGAGAATGCATATTATCTCTCCCTCCCCTCTTCTCTCTCTCTCTCTCTCTTCTCTCTCTCTCTCTCCTCTCTCTCTCTCTCTCTCTCTCTCTCTCTCTCTCTCTCTCTCTCTCTCTCTTCTCTCTCTCTCTCTCTCTCTCTCTCTCTCTCTCTCTCTTCTCTCTCTCTCTCTCTCTCTCTCTCTCCTCTCTCTCTCTCTCTCTCTCTCTCGTCTCTCTCTCTCTTCTCGCTCCCCCCCCCTTTTCCCTTCATTCTTTCTCGCTTTCTTTCTCACTCTCTTTCAAAGGAAATAACTTGAGTGTACAAGACTGGAGAGTTAGAAGAGTCATTATCTGCTTACACTGGATTTCTTATCTGTTGAATGTAATCAAAGAAAAGAACGCTAGATAAGGGAAAGTAGCTATCAGGTTCTTTTGTTCAATTTCATCAGCCTGTAGTGAATACCTTCACTTTCCATGAGGTCTTTTAGGATTGCAAGCAAGGAATATGTTATATTTTGTGTCATATTTTGATTTCCATACACACACACACACATACATACATACACATATACATACACATATACATACACATATATACATACACATATATACATACACATATATACATACACATATATACATACACATATATACATACACATCTATACATACACATCTATACATACACATCTATACATACACATCTATACATACACATCTATACATACACATCTATACATACACATCTATACATACACATCTATACATACACATCTATACATACACATCTATACATACACATCTATACATACACATCTATACATACACATCTATACATACACATCTATACATACACATCTATACATACACATCTATACATACACATCTATACATACACATCTATACATACACATCTATACATCACATCTATACATACACATCTATACATACACATCTATACATACACATCTATACATACACATCTATACATACACATCTATACATACACATCTATACATACACATTATACATACACATCTATACATACACATATATA